CCCTAAACTCTTTTCAAACCAATCAACACACAACAGACTGTTTCCCAGTGAAAGTCAAACTATTCGTATCTGATTAAAAATACGCGAATGATTGTATATTGTTGAAACTCCACGTATAGTTTATGCCTACTCTATTTCATTTCCCCACAGTTACTCCGCTGCAACGTGAGTCTGGCGCATCATGTTCCTCACGTATTCTCTTCGAACTCGACACCCAACACTTCGCCTGGTGCTGAGCTGTTACCAAGTTTAGAAACCTCATATGGAAGCTGGATAGAATCGTATGCGGATTCGCAAATCCAGAGCAAACCACCTATCTGGTTACCTCTAACTTGCACACTGTAGTGCAGCAACTAGTTGTACGACTAAACGTATACAACAATATGCTCATTACTTTCACTCTTATTTACTTTCCTGTGTATTGTTGGTAACCAGTAAACACTATTATTACGATGCGCCACTGTTTTAGAAAGGTCTTATTTGGTACTCGCTACTCCAACTTTTGCCCTTCTGAGCGCAGTCTTCCGAAAGTGATTTGGAACGTGCCGTCACGTGATTAGTCGCTTGAAGCTTGCGCGTGGGTGTCAATCAGACAATGAATCACCCGAATCATCGCCGTCGCACCACTCACACAACTGCATCATGTGAACCAAACAGTGCGCTTCAGAGCACGTGACGTACACATGCAGTGGAAGTGAAGCAGTTTATTGCAGATGAATTGACGGCTTCCTGACTAACATGGACCAGATGTGTCCGACCTTGAGCAGGACTGTAGCTTTCGGAAAGGAACAACTTATGTGGAAATGTTGCGAGAAATAGTGTGGTCGCAATGAGATATAGATGGAAAGGTTAATCAGTCGCAGTCTCCTGTGTACTTCCAGACCCGAGAAAAAAATGCCTTCACACGTCAGCCTGAGTTTGGGTAGTGCGTGGACAACAGACTGGATACTACCATTCAATAGGGTGACAAAATGAGTTGCGTACATCAGAACTACTACTTTCATTGGTAACTTGAATATCAGAGGCAGTTTTCAAATTACTCATTCAGTAGGTTTTGAACTCAGCGAACGCCTTGTTGCTGACCTTTCTCAAAATACGCTGGCTGATGAGAGATAAAAAACGGTTCTCACTTGATAGTGAAGTCAGCAGAGTCTTACTAGGGATGACTGGTTCATTTAGACACATTCCAGTCAAGTTTAGCAATCAGTGTGCATGAGATATGTGGATAAGTGCATATAGAACCGCGCAACGGAGGCCAATGAACCACAAGTGTACATACAGCGCCAAGCCAGGGGTATCCCAGAAATAAAATGAATAGTTTTAAATTCTACTGAGCGGTTGACAAAGCTTCCCTAGCCCGAAATTTCCTCAAACATTGCGGAGTCCTTCCACATGGTAAGAGCAATGACAGATTCAGACCCATCAGATCATCTTGAAAATGCGAAAGTTGCTTTGAAATTCTTGGAAACACCATATCTTGACGCTGCTACCAAAGCTGGAACCCAGTACCTGGACTACAAAGCTAGTATCCATCGTCCGTCAAACATGCTCCTCTGAGCTACAGTGCAGGTTGTTTTGTTCTATGGCTGAGACTGGATCTGTTCGAGTAGCGCAAATGACAAATCTTCAGATGTTCGACACTCATTGTCTCAGGACTGGAGCTCCTGTAGGCTGGTATCGGAGAATCCGTAACGAGGAAATTAGAAAGCGAGTTTTCGGTTGTGTGACAAGGACTTCCATTAAGGAAGGTGTCTATCACCAGAAGCGGCGTTGGTGAGGCCATGTATTGCGCACGCCTAACAGAGTGCTGTTTCCCGTGCCCAATTCAGAGCATCACATGCATAGAGGTGGCCAACACTTGACCCGGCAGAGGGATATGAAGGAGGTTACGAAACGTTTGGGTACTGTCGGTGCTATTCGCCTACCAGGATGTGAACCACGTGATCCCCACTGCACCTGGCTGTAGACACTGCAACAAATGGCTGATAGCCGATTTCAATGGCGTTCGTGTTGTTAGTTTCTCCCCACATTGTCTTACTGAGTGTCTGAAAGTGTAGGCACCTCGAAATGATTGTGGTAAAGTAGCACTCGGTAGTTGTATTGGCTCTGACGGAAGTGTGTCTGATGAAGTCAGTGCAAGAATCTCAAAGGCTCGAATCACGTTTGCTAATTTGCGTCACTTGTGGCGTCA